GTGATGGACGTCAGGGCTATGTGGTTCTGCGTCTTATAATGTGTCTGAAGGACTGAGTGTCATGGGTTTGCCATCCAGTGTGTCACAGTGTAAAGCTATATCTCTCGCTGGCTGAGTAAGTCTTGTGTAGTCTGTAAGGCATGCAGCCTGGACATGGGGTTAGGTAGTGGGTGAGTCCGTGGTATAGGGCTGCTCTGCCCGCAGGTTCTCCGTCAAACTTTGTTGGCATGCTCAGTGTCAGGCACCAGTGTTCTTTGGTTCCCTGCCCGGTAAGTTCATGGTCTTCCAGAATGCCGTGGGGTCTTCCCCAGACGACAGGGTACGTGTCTCATTTCCCCTTTGGACGTTCAGCATTCCATCTTCTCCCCAGCGATATCGGACCTCTGCCTCTCAGTTTCTTGGCTACAGGTGCCAGTTGTCTCCTCGACACTAGCTCCCCGAAGGGAAGGTCCCCATATATCGCCACACAGCAGCCTTCAAGCCGGAACGTCTTGATCTCTCTGGTTCTGTTGAGGATAGCGGTCCTCACCGCAATCTCTGGTGATGACTGTTGTGTCTCTCGGCGCCCCTTGAGGTGCCGCTGCGCGTACTCTGAACACCGAGACCACCCTCCTCTTCGTATCTTTACTCTTTAGACCCATCGAGGCCACCAGTCTCTGGGTGAAGGGTAACAGGACTTCTTCACTCACTGTTTCCGGGATTCCTCGCATGAGGATGTTCTTGCAGGATTCCAGTGCGGTCACCAACTTGGTGAGTTTCTGCACCTGTGTGGCCAGGTCCTCTATTTGGTTGTGGGTGTCCTGCATCTGGTGTTCCCAGTCCTGCTCTTTAATTTTCTATTTCGGAGATCCTTTGCTTGGGCCTCTTTCAGGTCTGATTTCCAGACTTGCCTTATGTCCTGCAGGAGGTGTTTAATGTCTCCTTTAGTCACTGGAGAGGAAGTCCTTTTCTGGGTAGTCTTCTCCTGGTTCAGGTGAGGTGGATATGTCTCCCTCCACCTGGGATGCTTCCGAGGCCTACACTTCGGCCCGGGCTGCGGGC